AGGGATGGTGTGCAAGCCACAAAACTCAGCAGACAGAAATGTAAGGTGTGTTTTTTGGTTTGGTTTGGTTTTTTTGTGAGAGGGTTTCTCTGTGTAGCTCTGGCTGTACTGGAACTTGCTTTGTAGATCAGGTTGGCTTTGAACTCAAAGATCCAACTGCCTCTGCTTCCTGAGTGCTAGGATTAAAGGTGTGAGCCACCACTGTAGGAAGTGGTTCTGATGCTTTGATCGGGAATCTGCCTGTAAACACTGAAGGTCCTGTTTTCCAATTGGTTCTTGATCGATCAATAAAGATACCAGTAGTCAAGAGCTGGGCAGAAGAGGGAGGACTTCTAGGTTCCTACAGGCAGGCTAGGAGAAATGGGAGGAGGAAACAGAATTTGCCATGCTTCCAAGGGAGAGAGAGCCACCAGCCATGTGCGATCTCAGGTGGAGTGGCCACTGGCCACTCCCAGATTGGGTCTGGGGTAGCAGGCAGGAGATTAGAAATACAACTAAGCTGAGGACAGACCTACAATGTTGAGCAAGAAATAAAAGGAAGGGCATGCTAGCCTTGGGAGGCATAGAAAAGACCAGCCACTGAACTGTAAGGCAGGTTAAAAATGAGCTTGTGTGTGTTTCATCCACGGATCCAAGATAACCAGAGTGGTGGCTGGTAGCACTGTCCACCTGGAGCTTAAAGAAACTACAGGCTATGCAGTACCATTGAGCTTTATATGACGATTTTTAATATGTAAACTTAGTAGGTTATTAAGTGACTATGCAACCATACACTTTAGTTTTAGCTCATTTCCATCATCATCACAAAACCACACCTTCTTATACCTATATGCAAGCAATCTGTGCTTCATGGAAAACCATCAATTACATATTATAGCTATATAAATTTATCTCTTCTGGATTATTTCACACAAATGAAATAGTGTATGCATTATTTTGTGACTAGGTTTTTCCACTTAGCAGAATGCTTTGAAGATCCATCTATATCAGGCTGGAGAGATGGCTCAGTGGTTAAGAGCACCAACTGCTCTTGCAGAGGGCCTGAGTTCAATTCCCAGGAACCACATGGTGGCTCACAACCATCTGTAATGGGATCCAATACCCTCTTGTGGTTTGTCTGAAGGCAGCTACAGTGTACTCACATATATAAAATAAATAAATAAATCTTTAAAAAAAAGATACACCTATATCATGGAATATATGATCTCATTTCTTGTGTTTTAATAGCACTAATGCACACGCACACACACACACACACACACACACATGATACTTTGTTTAGACATCCACTAGCATAAACATCCAAATAGTATAAATCCATATTTATACTATTTGCCTAGTTGCATGTTTTAGTTTTGTTAATGCTGTGAACATCCATGTGCAGGGTTTTGTAGAGTGTGAGCCTTTCTTAGAAGTGCTGCATGATACTCAGTTTGCCTTTTAGGAAGTGCCAAGCTGTTTTTTAAAGTGCCTGTGAAAGTGCCTACCAGCAGTTTATGAGGATACTGGCTCTACAAACCTCAAAGTCAGCACACTTGTATCCTTGATTCAAGGCATATCTCTTCTAGACAGTATGTAGTTGGGTCTTGGATTTTAAAAATATAATCTAACAACTTCTGTCTTTTGAATGAAGCATTTTTTGAAAGGTTCATTTATTTTTATTTTATGCGTTTGAGTGTTTTTACCTGAAAGCATGTATAAGCACCACATTCATGCCTGGTGTCCATAAAGCCCTGAAGAGGGTGTCAGATTTTCTGAAACTACAATTACAGGTGATTGTGAGCCACCACATGGGTGCTAGAAATGGAACCTGGATCCTCTTTAAAAGCAGCCAGTGCTCACAATCTCTGAGCCATCTCCCTACCTCTTTCTCTTAGTTAGGGTTTTACTGCTGTGAACAGACACCATGACCAAGACTACTCTTATAAGGACAACATTTAACTACGGCTGGCTTACAGGTTCAGACCATCATCATCATCTGTGAGGCAGTGGGCTGTGAGAGGCAGCTGGGTACCAGGTCAAGCTGGCTTCGAACCCCAGAGACCCTCAGGGATGGTAGGAGTTTGGCCTTGCTCCTGGGACCCCTGGTTGCTTTCACATAGTCACAGCCTTCTACAGCCCTTCCCACAGAGAGGTTTGTGGGCATCGGTCATGTAGCACAGGTAGAGGGTGTGACTACAGACCTCAGAGCCTCAAGACATCTCCATATTCATGAGAGACCTAAAGGCCAGATGGTGTAGCCAATTAAGTATTCCTTCTTCCTTGTAAAAGGTTGAGAATATGGGGTATAGCTTCATCCATTTTCTGCCATGACAATAAACACTTTAAGACCTTTTAAGACCTTTAAGAATGCCAGGCGGTGGTGGCGCACGCCTTTAATCCCAGCACTTGGGAGGCAGAGGCAGGCGGATTTCTGAGTTCGAGGCCAGCCTGGTCTACAGAGTGAGTTCCAGGACAGCCAGAGCTATATAGAGAAACCCTGTCTCGAAAAAAAAAAGAAAGAAAGAAAGAAAGAAAGAAAGAAAGAAAGAAAGAAAGAAAGAAAGAAAGAAAGAAAGAAAGAAAAAAGAAAAAAAGTCTCTGGTTATTATATTTTCCTAAAGTATGGAGAATGTGGTGCTGCCTCTAGCCTCCAGGCTTTTGCTCTGTGTTGAGGTTTGCTGTTTTCATGGATTGCACTGATTTTCCTCCATGTGTGCTAAATCCTTTTTATCTTGATGCTTTTAATATTTTCTCCTTGACTTTTAACAGTTTGATTACAACTTGTTCAGGTAAGGTTCTGATTTTGTTTGTTCTTAAAGCTTACTGAATATTAATCTCTCTCATGAAATTTCATCCATTATTTATTCAAATATTTTTCTATCCCTGGCTCCTTCTCTTTCAAAACTGTTTTTAATATACATGTTTATATGCATGACATCTCACAGGTCTCTGGGATGCTGGTCATATTTTGAATTAAAAATTAATTTTTCAAAAAAAATTAATTTTTCAATTAATGTTTTTCTGTATTAAATGGTGATTTTTCTCTCTTACAGTTTATTTTCTCTGCCATCTAGAAATTGCTGAGTCCTTCTAAAGAAATCTCATTTCCATTATATACTTTTCAATCTGGACTTTCCGCTAGTTATTTTTGTATTCCTCTTTGACTGACATTCTGAATTCATTACGCCTTTCCTTTGCTTCTTGGTATAGTTGTAGCCCCATCCATAAGCATTCTGAAAGAAATGCTTTGCTGTGTTCTGGGCCAGCTCTTACATCTGAAGCCTTTTCTTTTTCCTGCACATGGACCACAATTTACTTCTATAAATGTCAATACTTTTTGGTTGAATACTGTGCTTTCTAGATAACGTATGGTAGCAACTCTGGATCCACTTTCCCCACATGTCTCATTATTGTAGGTGTTAATTTTGCTTGTTCAGTAAAGTGTAAAGTCTGTCTCTCATAAAAGATACAGATGCTGACATCTTTCCTAATATCTATATCCTCATTCTTCATGCATGTGCAACTTGGCACCTGGCAAGGACCAGTCAGAGGTTGTTGTTATGAGCCAGAAAACCTTGTTTGTCTCTGCTTCTGCATGGCTGGGGAGGATATTTGAACCTCAGGCAGTTTTCATGTCTGCCTTAGTTTGTACTTTCCTCTAGCTATATTGTATGCAAACAGGCTTTCCTGGCCAGGCATGTGTGGGTATGTTTGAGTCTGTTCCACCTCTTTTGTGTGTTCCTTGACATAGAAAGCATTGAGTGTGAGATATACAGAGGGAGGGATACAGAGCTCACAGTGCCCTCTTACCTCCAGAACTATGTAGGTCATCAGCAAGACCACTGTCCATAGCTTGCTTCAATGAGGTCTATAAACTCAAAACAGTGGAACTACTGCCTCCTCTGTTCACTTATGACCAAAATGACTGCCAGAATTAACAATGTCCCAAACAGGGAGTGACTCATAGAAGCTGCAAGGCTGATTTCTATAGCTCACATCAACAGAGTTGAGAGAGTAGAACGGGGCAGAACACCAAGTTTTACTCTGTTCCTACCGAGAACAAATACCTCTGGTTTCTTGTATACCTTTAGTCCATTTCTAAAAACATGGACACAAAGACTTTGGGTAGTGTTTTCTCAGCTCTCTGCTTGTTTTGGTGACTGTCAGATTCCTCCCTCTCTCATGCTGAAGATCTCAGCCAGTCTCCCCATTCTTCTGAATGCAAAACTTCTATACAACTATACTAATACAGAGATGGAGGAGTGACATCACTACTGTACAAGCCCATTTCCAGAGAAAGCAAAAGCATCTGAAAAAACAGAGACGTCCGAAGCAGGAACTCTGATAACCACTTGATTAGATTGAATCCCACTCCTCTGGAGCAGCTCCTAAGCCCCTGCATCTTGATTCCTTTGGACATAAGGGAAATGTAAGGTGCCAGAAGAGAGCCCATGTCAAAGCATCTGTTACTGCGGTACTTCAAACTGTTGCCTTTCTGTTTTGGACCTCTGTGGCCCACCCACCTCTCCTTCATGCTTCAGCCATGTCACTGTGATACACAAAAGCTATTCTTGTGGCAGCCCTTGTCCTGAAGGCTCATGGAAGTATTTCCATCTGGCCATGTCAGTTTTCTTCTACTACCTCACTGGACAGGCTGGGTCCTCTTGAGAAAGTCAAGTGAACTCTGGACAGCCTCATGGTTCCAGGGAAGGACAAAAACTTCCTGACAGATGTTAATCTAGTCTCTGAGTGATTTTTGATCAAAATCTCTCATTTCCAGATGGGTAATTAGGCTCATGAAATTCTGGTGCCAATTCCCAGTCACCTTCTAAGAATGTGATGATGTCTTCCTGATAAAATAGGTGAAAGATCTCAGAAATTATCACCTGTAGTGACCAGGCATGTGTCACTAAAAATGGTTTCCTAAAGATCCCACTTTACAGAACCCAGATTGAGCAGTCTGGGCACACAGATGTCTGAAGACTTTCCCACCCCTACAGCCCCTCTCTCTTTCTTACCTTAGCAAAGAAGACCCAGGCTGCACACTGCCCTGGGGCCAGAACACTTCTCAGCTTTACTGTACTGAGCATGAGAAAGAATCCCAAAACTCCACTGAAAAGAGAAAACATCCTTTGGTTAGTGAGACTGCCGTCCTTCAGCCACAGCCAGTGAGCTCCTGCACTTACTCCCACCATTGAGACAAGGTCTGGACCACCAGCTAGCTTGGAGCTCTAAATCCTCCCACTGTCTCCCCAGGAGCTGCGATTACAGGTAGATGCCATCACTCTCAGGTAGATGCCATCACTCTCAGGTAGATGCCATCACTCTCAGGTAGATGCCATCACTCTCAGGTAGATGCCATCACTCTCAGGTAGATG